ACACTCCCATCCCCCACTGCAGAGAGGACAGCAGTTCCTGTCACCTGGGGTTTGTGGGCTGGCTGGTTTGTGGGACCACCCTGGCAGCTGTGGGGTGGGCGGCTGCTCCCCACAGTCTCAGAGTGCTCCCCGCCGGGCTCGGGGACCCCGTGATCCTGGGGATTGAGCCTAGAGCCCCTGCACACAGCGCCTGCGCCCGGCCCCTTGGCCCTCTCCCGGCTCCTCTTGGATTTACGTCGGTTTGATCTTTTGCCTTTAATTGTTGGGTTTGGGGCCACACCCAACAGTGCTCGGGAGAACGGTGCTGGAGACCGGGCCAGGGTCATCCACGTGCCCGGCAGGCACCCTCTGCCTGTATTATCATGCCGGGCTCTGGCCCTTCATCCACAGGGACCCCCCCCATCCCTCTGAACTTGCCTTCTGACGCCTTCTCCCCTTCATTCACACTGGACAGCACCTCCCTGGCACTCCTCCCGTAACAGTGCTCGGTATGTCTGCACCGTGGCCCAGGGGTGCAGCCTTGAAGACGAAATCGGACAACATCCCATGGGTGGTGGGGGGGGGGGGGCGGGGAGGGTGCCCTTTCCTGCAGCCGGAGGCTGAGAAACACCTGCGTGCGTGTCTGTGTGTCTGCGTGCCTCCTTGTGTGTCTGTGTGCGTTGGTCCCTGTCCTTGGGGCAGAGCCACTGGGCTATTACCAGGGGCCTCCAAAGGGCCGATACCATGTGGGGAAGAAAGGAGAGGTCTGGGTGAAGATCAGCTCACACCCCCAAGTCTAGCGGCGGGTTTAGTATTCAGTGTAAATAAAAAAAATGTAAAAGCCTCTGCGATTATAACTAATGTAGCTTTGCACGATTATCTGGTGCTCCGTGGTAATTGTGTGATTGTGTGTGTGTTTGTGTGTGTTCGTGTGTCCACATGCATAGAGATGCCCGTGGCCCCGTTTTTTTTTCCGCTCCCTTATAGGAAGAGAGGAGCAGACCCCACACCCACACCCCAGCCGGGATGAATGCAAGAGCTCAGCCGAACCCCTGTCCACAACCGGGCATGCACACTCCAAGCTGGAGCCCCTCCCTGCTTCCTGGGCGGGACATGTCATCTTTGCCCGAGTCCGGGGGTCCCCTCCTTCAGCGGGTCACGCCTTGGTGGGGCTCAGGCAGCCGCATGCAACACAACCGCCCACCTGCCTGAAGTGGCCGGCCTGATGCGTCCAGTCACTGTCCAGCAGGTGACAGCCACTAGGTGGTGTGTGTGTGTGGGGGGGGGGGGATGACAGCGATGGCTCCTTGGGCCAGGGCACACCAGCCCTCCTGGAGTGGAGGTCAGCTTCTGGGGCATAGGTGGGCCGTGTGTGCCAGTAGCGTTTCCACATCTTTCCGGCACCGCCGCCGCCAAGCCTGACTCGAATGCAGTAGGGCTGCTCCTGGTGGTGGCCCGCCGGGTGCCGGGCTCCGGGGTTCCTGCCGGAAGCAGAGAATGTACGGCCACGGCCCCTGTGCTCCTCGCCACCTCCGGAGCCCTCCCCACCCCTACCCACCCGCTCCATTCCCGCTCACCCGACCGCGCTTCCAGATACATCTGTTGGCTCACGTGCGCCTGGGCGTTAAGCTCTTCAAACATTTATTAAGCGTTTCCTCCGCGCCAGGCCCCGTCCTCAGCATTTCCGTGCACGATCTCACTGGCTCCCTCGACGCAGCCCCTGCAAGAGCTGAGGTGCCGCTGGCCTCTGCTCACGCCCCAGCTCAGGCGGCCACGCGGGGTCTGGCCAGGAGCGGGCGGTCGGTCGGAGGAGACGGGGTCCTGACTCGGGGCGCCTGCCCACCCTGGGCTCTGCTGGGCCCTCCGCCCTCCTGATGACCCTCTCCCACCTCCTCCGTGTTCCTGGGGTGCTCCGGGACCTTCCCTTGGTCTTTCCTGCTGAACCTCAGCACCATGTGGGCGTCCCATAACTCAGACGCGGGTCGCCCTTTGGGGGCTCACTCGTTAGAGCCTCCTCGCTGTTCCTCCGGGGCTCCGTGGGCGGGCGAGCCCCCCGTCCAGTCCTCCTGCACCCCTGCACCCCCCCTCCGCCACGCTCCGCAGGGGGGGCATGCTTCCTCCATCCCGCCCCTCCCAGCCTCGTCTCCCCACAACACAGCCCGCCCCCCCCACTCCCCCCTCCCCTCCGCCCTCCCCTTCGCTTTTGATCTCGCAAATCCAGGCCCTTGGAGAAATCAGCTGGTATGAAATATGAAAACTGCTTGGGAAGTAATTGAAGAAACACTGTGACTTTTGAAACCCGGAGAGATAACACTCACACCTTCTTCCTCGCGTTATTTAATTTTTAATGGCAGGTTTAATTAATGGAGAGCGGCAGGCCTGGTGGCTGCTGCTGGTGCTGCCGAGTAGGTAGGTGGGGGGTGAGGGCGGGAAGTGGGGGCGACGTCCAGACCCGAAAATGAAAGAACAGTCATTGTCCCCCCCCCCACCCCCGGCACGGGGTGCTTATGAGCCGTGGGGTTCAGGCACCTTTCCAGAGCACGTTCCCCGCTATTTTAGATCAGGCACCTGGACTCCTTTGGGCCCCGGCCATGTGTGCCAGGTTGGTATTCTGACACCCCCAACTCCCTCCCAGCCCACCCCCCCATGTTCTGCCATTATCCATGTGCAGCCAGGATGTGCCTTCGGCTGACAGACTCCCCCCCCCCCCCCCGCTTTTGTGCCCTCGTACAGGGTCATGCGTGCATTTGACCCCACTGGGCTCCTGCTTCCACCCACTTCTGGGTCACTTTCCCCTCTCCTGGGTGCACCCTGGACAGCTCCTGAAAAGCCAGTGTCACCTTTCACCCCAGAGTTTGGCCTCTAGGGTGTCCCCTCGGGAGCACCCCTCCCATTCATCTGTACCCGGGTACTGATGCCAAGGAAGAGTGGTACCCACGGGGAGCACTGAGACTGGGAGCCAGCCCCACAGGGGGCGCTGTCCTGGCCCTCCTGCTTTCTCCCCTGTGCCTTTGCCTCTGCAGAGACGTAGTTGTTTGGGGAAGAACCAACTGGCACCCAGACTGTCCCCGCTGACCTGTGACAGGACTCAGACGTGAGCTCGGGCATCGAGGGAGCAGACTTGCTCTCGGGGTGAACTTTGGCACTCCCAGGCCCACCCTTCTAGAAAGCCCTTGAGGATAGGGTGGCCCCAGATCTAGCCCAGAGAGTCTGGGGAACCCGCTCGCCCTCCTGGGCACAGCCCAGACATCGGCAGGCCGCGGGAGGGGGCACACCACCGCCCCAGGTCCTGAACCTGGGGAGTGGGCGGAATAACGCAGGAAGGGGAATTCCTCTGAGTCACACCCAGAGCCCAGAGAGGAAGGTAAAGTGGGTAAGCATGGCCATTCCTTGGTCTGTGGGCACATCCTGTGACAAATCTCCCTGGCTGCGCGGGCGGGCTGTGCTCCCAGGCACCCCTCCACCCGCTCGCCCAGCTGCGGGGTCACAGGGAGGCACCCGCCCAGCAGAGGCCCTGGGGCCCATCCGCCCACAGCATCCCAGTCCTGAAGGGACGTCCAGGGGGCGCGGGGGGGGGGGGGGGCAGGGAGACGGCCTGCAAGAAGATGACTTGGCACGTCCCCCATCACTGATGGGCCTGACTCATGACCAGGAAAGGGACCAGACGAAAGGCCGGACCTGAGTGCTGGCCGCAGATGTTCCAGCGCTGTGGCCCCGGTACAGCGTGGATGGGCCACCCGGAAACTCCTGCCCCCCGGCCCTGACGGGGCTGGTCCCATCTGACAGGCCGGAGGAGGCTCAGGAAGCCCGTGGTTTGTCCCAAGAGCCCTGCCCGCGGGTGCCAGCCACGAGGCCACAGCGTGGTCAGTGGCCCTGCGGGCCCAGCCGAACACAGCTGGCTGGCCGGGAAGGGCTGAGACTTAGGCGTGTCTCTGGGCTGGAACATCAGAGGCAACGTGTGATTGTGACTCTGGATCAGTCTCTCCACCCCTCCGGGCCGGAATCTCCAAATTTAAAATAAGGGTTGGGTCAGATCAGGACTCACCAGGCATTTTTGTGTGTTTGTGGGTTTGGTTTGGTTGGCTTGGAGGAGGGGATGGCACACCGACAGTGCCTGGGGCTTCCTCCTAGCTCCATGCTGAGAGAGCACTCCTGGTAGGGATCCGGGGGTCATATGGGATACTGGGGGTTGAGCCCAGACCCAGTGGCATGCAAGTGCCTCACCCAACAGACCTTTATTCTCATTTTTTAAATGTTTGTTTATTTATTGGCTTTGGGGGTCACACCCAGAGACGGTCAGGGGTTACTCCTGGCTCTGCACTCAGGAATCACTCCTGGCGGTGCTTGGGGGACCGTATGGGATGCCAGGGATCGAACCCGGGTAGGCCAGGTATAAGGCGAAACGCCCTACCTGCTGAACTATCTCTCCAGTCCCTTATTCTCATTGTTTAAAATTTGGGTGTGTTGGGCCACAGCTGGGGGTACTTCGGCCTTACTCCTGGCTCTGTGCTCAGGAGTCACTCCTGGTGGTTCTCGGCGCACCCTGTGTGGTACCTGCCAGGAATCAAACCCGGGATGGCTGCATGCATTCCCATTTGTATTCTCTCTCCAGCTCCTGGGCGCCTTTTCATTTGAGAGAGAGCAGGTATTTCAGGCATTGGAGACTCTACAGTCTGGTGAAACTCCTTTTCCTTGTAGCAAAAAAAAGGGCAGCCACAGGCTGTATAAACAGAGCAGGCATGTCACTGACTCCCAGTACAACTTTATTTACAAGCCAGACTTGGCTCATTTGGGGATGAGGGGGCTCACGAGCCCCAGGACCTGCCCTCCATCCTTACCCTTCCAGCTCCCACCTGGGATTCCACAGCTGCTGGCCCAGCCTGTGTCTGGGTCGGCCTTTCCTCTGTCTTAGCTCTGGGCAGTCCACACGCATCTGTGGGTTCCTAATGGGGTTTGCCCCAGGCGGGCACTGGATGGCCCTCACCCCTCCGCTCACCACTTCTCTCCGTTTTTCTCTGCAGAATGCCGAGATGTATAAACTGTCTTCAGAGCAGTTCCACGAGGAGGTCTCGAAAGCCGAGAACGCGATCAAGTAAGAAACTTGTTTCTGTGTCTTCCTAAACGGGCTCCTGTATGCTCCCGCGGTAGCTCGAAACTCCTGGTCCCTATCCTGTTGCCAGGTCCTGAAGCAGCTCCAACTCCCGGGGGTGACACCTCCCAGGGCCCCAGCCTCCCAGAAACCATCTGCCAAGGCCCTGCAGACCCCAGTTCTTCCCACTCTCCCCAGCAAATGGGAGCAGGGCTGTGGTGGGGCTGCCCCCAGCCCGGTGTCCAGAGGGCAGGGCAGCATGGGGCGGGTTCTGCTGCCCAGTGACGTTTGCGGAAGGTTCCAGATGGCCTCTTCCCTGGGGGCGCGGCTGCCTGCTTGGCCTGGTGCCCTGTTGAGTGTCTGTGACACTCAGGTGTTCTGCTCGGGTGCTGAGATTGTGGGGGACACTGGTTCCTTTCTCAGGTCACCCGACCTGGGTGCCAGCCTCCCATCCCCTCACTGCCTGGCATCGGGGCGGGCGGCCACTGGAAGGGGTGTCTGTTCTCTTCCTGGCCAGCTCTGCTTGGCTTAGGGGCAGGTACGAGGAAGGGCGCGGGGGGGGGGGGGGCTAGGGAGCAATGCCTGAGTGCGGGGGTTTTGGGTGTTGCCTTTCCTGCATGCGCCAGGGGCTCTAGCCGGTGCCCTCCCCCGCCCACCTCTCGGGTCTCTCGGAGCAGGTCAGGCTGCCCTCCCAGGCCAGCCCGGCGCGGTGCAGCTTGGGAGGAGCTAGAGCTGGCAGCCTGAGCAGGAGACGTCAGAGGGAGGCTCGGAGGGCCGGGAGGTGACAAATTGCTTAATGATGGGGTGATGAGGAACCAGGAAAGGCAGCAGGGACAGATGCCGCCTCAGCACAGGCTCCAGTGCAGCCTGGCGTGGAGTAGGTCTGGGCAAGAGGAAATGGTCCTCCTGTTGGACTTCCAGCTCCTGTCACCGATCCTCTCTTACTTTCCGAGGAGTATGATGCTCGTGAAGGGAGGTGCGGGGATGGGGGAGGGGCTAGTCTTCGCAGCACGTGGCCTAATGGCCGACCTTCGGCTCAGTCCCCAACTCGCGCTCGGCATCGATGAGGACGGGCTTAACACGTTGGAGTTTTACTCTTCCTAAGGGGAGTAGAACGGAAGTAGAACCTAATCATTTCGGGTTAGAAATGATCTTACTTTGAGCATCGTGGCAGGAGTGAAGAATCCTGATTGGGGGCGAGGGGGAGGAACTCTTTGGCTTCGTGGATCAGTCTATAAACATGCGTACTGTTGTCGATGCCATGGAGTGGATGCCGATGAGCGTTGGCCCGAGGCAGGGCGGCACCCCTGAGCCGGTCGGGGTACGCAGCCGGTTTCCTGAGCAGGAAGCTCCTCTGTCCGCGCCTTCGCTCTGCGAGCACGGCGCCGAATGCTAACCACTTGCCAGGCCCCCACGCTTGGCGCGGGCGAGATAATGAAGGCTGTTTCAGCTGCTGCCAACAAGGAGCTTACAGCATCCGAGGAGTGACAACCAGTATCTTAAAATTAATGGCACAGAAAGCAGTTTCCCTGCGCAGTTATTGATTACAGTAATGAGTTGCGAATTAAAATGTGTCTGAATGAAAAGGCAAGTGTTTGAGGCCCCTGGCCTAGGCCGGGGTGGTGGTTGGCCCGAGGCAGAAGCCCATTTCTGCTGGAGGTGTAGAGGAAGGAAGAAGAATGGGGTTTCAAACAGAGGCATCTGTGTGCAGAGGCCCCTGGGGAGGAAGAAATGCATTCAAGGAATTGAGAGAAAGCCGGTGGGCCCAGAGGGGGTAGTGAGTGAGGCGTGAGACAAGGGAACGAAGGTCCGTCCAAGAATGGAGCAGCAGCCGGATAGGACCGCTTCAACGATCTTGGTATCCTGAACTCTCTTTCCAAAGATAAAGCACATCGGGGCTCTGTCAATGTGGCTTTACCTACTTCTGTAAGTTTCAATCCAGCGTGTTTTCCTGTTTATTTCTGTTAAGGAATTTTCCTCATGGGCATCTGATTTCTTCTTTGTCTCAAATCGCTTCAGGTTGTATTGCTTGTACCTTCCTGACTTTCAGTACCGAATATCAACTTGCCATTCTCTAATGGCTTTCAGGCCTTATTCTGCTGGAGTTCGAGAAATTAAACAGTGTCCCTTTGGGTCCAGGATACAATTCGCTTTGGGAAAACCCTTGGTGAAGTGTCTGTGTTGAACAAGCGGGATGGTCTTGGTCACAATTCCTGTGTTTTCACCAATGACTGCATCAGTGCATCAATTATTCCTGATGCAGTGATGGTTTCTTTTCCTGTGTTATTCCTGATGCACTGGTGGTTTCTGTCTTTTTCTTTCTTCTCCAGGTTTTGGGTGCATACCGAGCAATGTTTAGGGGTTGCTCCTGGCTGTGTACCCAGGAATCACTCCTGGTGGGGCTCCAGGTGACCAAATAGGATACCGGGGATCAAACCCAGGTTGGCTGCATCTGCATGCAAGGCAAGAGCCCTCCCAACTGCACTATTGTTTTAGCCCCTCAATGACTGCTTTCTACCTCGGTCTCTTTGCCTTATGCTTACTGAATCTTTCCTGAGAGGAAATTCTGTTTTCCATTGTCTGGAAATACCTTTCTTTTACCTTCACTTCTGAAGACTGGAAGGAGCCCTTCAGACCTTCGCGTTCTCATTTGATACCTGTTTTCCTCCACCGGCGTCGACCTTTGATCGTCTTACTATTTCTTGGTGATTTGTTTGGCTGGTTTTAAATTTTTTGTTTCTCCTCGTGATTGGTTGTACCGTTTTAGCAGTTTTACTGTGAGTCGTTACAGACTTTCATTGCTTTTCTCCTTCTTGGGGTTCATGTTTTGGGGTCTGATGTCATTTCCTTAATTTTAGAAACATCTCAGATTGGGCCAGAGGGCCAGGTCGGGTGCTTGCCTTCTACGCTGCTGACCTGGGTTCAACCCTCAGCATCCCATCTGCTCCCCTGGGCCTAACAGGAGTGATCCCTGAGTGCAGAGTCAGGAGTAAGCCCCGAGCACCTCTGGGTATGCCCCAAACCAAGCCCTCTCAGCCCCCCAAAAAGAAATTCCACTACCAGCTTCTCCTCCAATGAAGCCACCCTGTTTTAGCATTTCCCCTCTTGGGTCCCATTACATGCACGCCTGTTTCTCATATGTCTCTGTGCTCTTTTGTTTCATTTCTCCACACTTTTTTTTTCATTTCCATGTTGTATCCTGATTTTTTTTTCTATTAAACATTCTGTTAGCTTACTCCTCTTTTTCTGACATGTTAGGTTGGCCCTAAAGCTGCTTATTGAATTCTGAATTTCAATTATCGTCTATTTTCAATTCTAGAAATTGACTCTCTCTCTCTCCCTAGAAATTGCATATTTTTTTCTGGGTGGGAGGGGTGGAAATTAGGGGGAGTTCCAGTGTGCTGAAATTCTGTTGTTGGGTGTTTTTTGGGTTTTTTTTTTTTAGCATATTCATTGCAGTTGTGTTTGTCATCAGAGGATCTGTTTCTGCTGCCTTTTATTTCTCTTGTTCCTGTTTTTTTGTTGTTGTTTTTGGTGTGTGTTGGCAGGTTGAGGGGAGAGGTGGGGAGGCTCTCTGTGATCTGGAGGCCTGGCAGTTCACTGTGAGGACCTGGAGATATTGGCTGTGGGCGATTATCCAGGCCACCCTAGCAGTGCTTGGGGGCCTCTTACGTACACCCTGTGGTTCTCAAGGGAATTACGTAGTGCCAGGAATCGAATAAAGATCACCCACATGCAAGGCAGGAGCCCTAAGCCCCAAAGTCTTGGCCCTGGTCTGCCTGGTGAGTCTTTTTTTTTTCTTTTGCCTTTTTTGGGGGATCACACCCAGCAATGCTCAGGGGTTGCCTCTGGCTCTGCACTCGGGAATTGCTCCTGGAAGTGCTTGGGGGACCATATGGGATGCTGGGAATCGAACCTGGGTCAGCTGCGTGCAAGGCAAATGCCCTCCCCGCTGTACTATGGCTCCGGCCCCTGTCTTGATGGAGCAGAGAGAGTAGGGGACTGGGGCTGTCCGTGATTTGTCATTGCACATGGTGAGGGCTTCTCTGGGAAGTGCCACCGCAGGCAAGTCCATCTCTGCATTAAAGTCTCAGAGTGCTTGCACAAACCCTGATGGCTAGGCCTGCCGGCACGCATCAGCTCTGTGACCCTTGAGCCTGAGGGCCACTGTGCCAACTGCCGTGGGTGAGACACAGACCCCATGTGTCCAGAGTCAGCTGGAGGTGGCAGCAGTGTCGACCCTCAGCATGCCTCCCTCCCGGCGAGCTTGAAACTTCTGGGGTTCGCTTGCTTCACTTAGGAGTTGCCTGGCGATGCCAGCCGCCCCTCGGTGGTGTCGGACGCACCTGCTTACTCTGGCCTCGGCTGGTGCCCAAATCTGATGGCGCCCTGAATGGAGACAGATGCATGGCCGGAGCCCGCTCCCCACCTCACTCCCCGACCTCAGCGGCCTCGGGCTCCAGAGTACCTTGTCTGTCTGCAGCCACGCCCCCCCCAGCCTCGAGTGCCCCCTCCCCCTGCCCACACAGTCCACTTTCTGCACCAAGAACCCGTGGGAAGGCCAAGGAGGGCTGCCCCTCAGAGAAGAGATCCCTCTGTCTTCAGTTCCCTTCTCTTAGCTGTGGTCCCATGCCATGGTCCTTGGTTGGCTTCAAACAGAAACTATCCTGTTAGATGGGTAGAGAGAGAGAGAGAGAGAGAGAGAGAGAGAGAGATGGGGTTGTGGGCAGTGCACAGGGCTTACTCCTGGCTCTGTGCTCAGCAATCACTCCTGGTGGGCTCTAGGGACCATATGTGGTGCCAGAGATCAAACCCAGGTCGGCCGCATGCAAGACCAGTGCCCTCCACACAATACTTTGGCTCTGACCCCCATAGATAGTTTTTTTAAATTGCCCTGCGGCCACACCCAGAGGTGCTCCTGGACTGGTTCAGTGCTTGGCAATCATTCCTAGTGGTGCCCGGGCAACTGTGTGTGGCCAGAGATCAAGCCCGGAACGCTCCGA